CATGCAAAAAATAAATATGCATAAACATTTTCTAATCAGTTTCCAAGCTAACTGCTTGCATATCTAACTTTTATTTTCTCATTAAAAGAATATCATACTATTTTTGCTATTTTTTCCAAGAAACAGCTATAAAAAAAAATCCCTCAAACCTCCAAAAACAGTTATTTATGCATTCCAATAAAAGCAACTAACAGATGTCAAGTACTTTTGTGTTTATGTTTTAATGTTCCATAATATTTGTGAAACATTTTAGCATGATTCTTTTTTTTTTTTCATTGTTTTTATCCTTTTGGAAAAAATTGTTCTTGCCTCCCATTAAAAAGGTAACAAAGCAACACAATACTTGTGCTGTTACCTGCAGCATAATTATTAAAGTCAAATCCTTTTTTACAGGCCAAAAACCCCCCAAAATAATAATTTAGAATGCATCTAGTTAGGTTCTAGCTATAATTAAGATCAATTATATATGGTGTGGGTGTAGTTGTGCATGTATTACCAAGGCTGGGCACGCACGCACTAAAACAAAATTCACTATACCAAAAACATTATTTAGGTTGAACCGTCAATCAAATAAATGATAGGAAATCACTACATTTAGGCAGGCTATGTAACCCTATTTTTTTCTTTAGACAAAAGAGTCTCCAGTCTTCACACAATCATATGCTGTCAATGGACAAGATGGACGATATGCAGGGAATTAAGCAGCTATTCAATATTTATTTTTCTCCTCATTATCCAGAGTGGCCCTAGGCATTAATTACTGCACACAAGCCAAGCCATGTACTAAATATGGAATTATTAATTTCCTTATTTTTAGAATGATTATTATGCATTTTACATTAGTGTTTTACAAACATTAAAAATGTAATCTCTGCTATGAGATAAGAGAAGTTATTTGCCGATTAAACATGTGGAAAACAACAAAGAAATTGGTCTGAGGCCACATAATGAATCAGTGATAGAGAAAGGACTAGAGCACAGAAGCCTCCTGATTCCTAACATTTCCTTCATTCTTCCAGGCAATTCTGCCTTACCTCCTTTTTTTTTTTTTCTTTAGAAGTGCTCAGCATCCACAATTCACACTGAATTCACTCTCACTTGTGAGTGGTTCAAGCACCAGGAGTTTCAAGCTGACAACCCAGACGCAGAAGCACCTTAAGATGCATTCAAGTGACATAGCTCAGGCCAACTCATCAATACAGAGTTCGGTCCAGGAAGTAATATAATGATGTTCTAAATTAAATTCATCAGCTCTTGTCACAAAATCAAACTTCCTCTACCTCATGTCCTACATGCCTGCTAAATTCTAGAGGAAATAAATCAGGGATCCTATCTTGAGCTTTATTCACTATACATCTGAACACGGAATAAGACAAGTACACTGTGGGAAAATGTGATCATTTAAAACCTAGATCCCATCATACCAAAATTCCATCATAAAGCTTTTTTGTGCCATGAACACACCTTCCTGGGTATGACCGTTGGTGCTGAAACCCAGAACATTTAACAGTGGAGCACACTTCTACATTCACAATGAATTTGCAGCAAATCTTGGTTTCTTTCATTATAGACAGGTCTTGGCTCCTTTGTTGTAATTATTCAGCAGACAGTACCTTCCTAGTGTTTTCCACACTGTTGCAGACTACTTTGTCACCCTTTACTTCTGACCATGTCAGGTAGTCAAGCTTTTATACATCTTTCTACATTGCAGTAGTGTAGCTCTGTAGTCGAGTAATATCAAGAAGGGATCTTCTCCTTCCTCAAATACTTTTTAAGCAGGTTCCTCACAATGCATATACCACATTTCGCTAGTCCACTGCCTTGAGGGTATTTGACACTGGACGTTTCATGACAAGTCATACAAAGTCTCAAAATTCCCTATTCCTGAACTGTCTGATATTAGTAATCACAGTTCTTAGAATTACACAGTGTACAATATAGATTTAATATGTCTGACAACTATTATCGCTGTGGTATTTTCCAATGTCACTACTTCTAGAAAATTAATGCAGTACCCCTTTATAATCAGGTGATTATGTTTTCCTAAACTGAAGAGAAGAATTCCTACTTTCCCCCACAGAATAGTAAATAGCTTGTGAGATGGCACTGGTTCCTTTTGCTGAGCACCTCTGCATTTCTGAAATGTTCCACATCTCACCATGGCTTCAGTATCACTATTCCAGTGTCTAAAAGACATCACTAGCTCTATTTTGGATTAGGTCATTCCCAGATGCACTCCATATATGCCGGTGGTTCTGGTGCAAGACGCCCTCAGGGTGCTGCGAGACAGATGCTACCATTGCAGCGGCAGTGGCCATGTATAAAAATGCCGCATGCAAGGGGCTGTGACAGTTCCACCCATGCGCCCATTCCCAGGAAAAACACTGAGGTAGGGGCCTGACAGGGAAGGGTTACAGCCTGAGCCAGCTCTGCCTGCTTCAGGGTTATCAGTGGGAATCCTGGTTTTCTCCGATTTAAAAAAAAAACCCAATTTTCAGTTTAAAAAAAGTAACCCCAAATCCGTATTTTTCCTTGATAAAAATAAAACACATCTGTCCGTCAGTCCGTCAGTGGTGATTCATTTAAATCATGGAAAAACGTGGATTTGGGGTTACTTTTTCTTCACTGAAAATTGGGGATTAAAAAAACACCACAGACAACCAGGATCTCTAGTTATCAGATTGAGTGCACATGCCACAACCCTGCCAAGTTGGCTATACAACAGACACGCAGGGCAGTTTTACCTGGAGGCAGAATCAACCAGTTGAGAAGCGCTGAGGGAAGCTGAAGCAACAACAACAGTGGTTCTCAACTGGGAAGGCTGCTGCATTCAAATGTGGTGGAGAGATACCATCATTCTGTGGAAGTTTAGAACCAGTGATAGAGTCATTCCAAATGTTTCTGCCCACCACTGTGAATCATGATCCATGTACATTTTATTAAGATTCCTAAGATGACTGAACTCATGTATAAAGGACAGGCAGATGGGAACTGGTGGGGGAGTTTCTTCCTTTACTTATTTCTCATATCACCACTTCCATGTTTTATCTCCAGCCATTTCCATCACTCATGCACCTGAAATGCTTAAAGATACTTTAATCATATTCACATGTATGGCTACTGTGTGTCCCTGATCATCGGGTTGTAGACTGCTTGATAGAGGATCTGCTCTTAAAAACATTTCTAGCATCACTAAGTAGCATACAGGTTGAAACTCTGGGGTCTTACCATATATCTGTAATTTCAGAGGTAGAAGCTGTATCCTTAGTACATCTCAAAGTCCCATTTTTGTAATGAATCCCCAGTGACACTAAATTATGGAATGTTGTATATCAACAGGCCAAGCTGGGGTTCTACTTTTCAGTTTGTGCATGCATTTTCTCTGAAGCTATCATAGCCCTAGATATATATGAGACTGGCAGCCAATCATGCCCTAGCATCCAGGCCCATTCAGTGTTCTCAGAGAGAAGATACCTTAGGCCAGGGCTGTTGAACTTTTAAGCAGCAGGGTCACATGCCCTGTGGGCCATATCAGAAGGGCTCACAGGCCCCCAGCACACCACATGGAAGTCCCACCACTGCAGCATGCACCCACAATGCCCCCACCACACCATGTGCCTGCAATCATCCCTCCACAGCACATGCTTCCAACCAGTGGTGTGCCAACATGGGAACTGCCCCCCACCACTGCAATGACCCTGCATGGAGACCCCACCCCTCTTCACTGTGTGCCCCCATGTGCCCCCTCCCCATTGGGACCACCAGTCCCCCTCCCCCACCATGGCCCCAGCCTCATGCCATACTGTGCATATTGCTCTATCACCAATGGCAGATGGAGGACGTAGCAGCTGGATGAGGAAGGGGAGTCCAGAGACTCTGGACACTGTTACAGCTGGAGCAACAGGGAGGATGGCAACCAGACAGGAGCCCAGGGGCTACAACTTAACCCCTCGTAGGCCAAGTGTAGCCCATTGGTCAACAGCTGGACAGCCGTACTTGAAACTATTTAGGCAAGATGCATACATTATACATTTGCAGGCATAATTCCATGTCCCTAGCAATTTTTTATTTCCTCAGTTGCATACCCAGTTATAGACTATCTTCCTCTTATATTTCACCTTTTCTGTCCTCTAGTTCTGCCCACCACGCCCTTTTGTCTCGCATTCCATTCTAGTACACACAGATATCTCCGTATTTCTGGGAGAGCAGCCTTCCATCATTCCAAGGCACCAAAATGTTTCAACTTCCACTTGCTTGTGTATATAAGCTATAAGCGACAGAATATCATGGTGGGTGGGGGGGAAAGATGCATCAAAACTATTTTTATAACTACTGGTTCAGATTTCTATCATACAAGGCCTTAAGAGTTAAGATGAAGCACTGAATTTTAGATCTGTTTTGCCAACCTTCTCCCCACCATCATTTAAGACAGCAGTTATATGCACTCTAGTCTCACTTACCTTCCACCTTTCTTTCTACTTTCTCTTGGTACAGACTGAAGAAAACAAATAGAAGTTCTCCTATGAAGAGCAAGCTGTAAAGTGCATGACTAAGAGGAGTGTTTCTCAGGGGGAGGGAGAGGGAAGGTTTGCCATATAGCAGAAGAAGGTTGGTCTAGTGATGTTAAGAAAATATATTTTTTGTGTTTTGGTACCTTGCATTAATGACTTGTCACCGGAATGCTAGGATAATTAAAATCAGTTAGTTCCTCAGCTAGCTATGAACATTCTCCCAAAGAAACTGCAATTACACAATTTTCTATAGAAAAGTTGGATAATTAACAGTTATTTTATTTCAGTGAGAAAGAAAAGAAGGATATAGGAAATCAAGCTTTCTGATCTATGGACACATCAATCAGCATGCTTTTGAAAGCCACCATCATTCTTTTTCTTTGTTTCAAAATCTGTTTTGATATAGGAACAAGCAGCCAACAACATTTCAATACTGTGGTTATTAATGTAAGAAAAGGCAGGTGGAGGGGAAAGTAAGTAGGTACTCACCACAATTCCAAACTGTTCTGGTTCAGACAAATTACTATACTCGCTCTTATACCTGGACAACGCATTGAGCTGTTCTTGCTCAGGAAGATGTTTTATTAAATTCTAGCAAAAACAAAAAAGAGAAAGAGTTGGACAATATTACATCACTTGTACATCCCATCACAAATTTCCAAAGATGATTGCTCCAAAGGTACAAACAAATGTGAAGACAACATTTTAGTCCTCAAGAACTTATGGGTATAAAACAGGCGCACACTGAAAATATACCAGAAAAGATAAATTTAATGGTAGTATAATTTAGGTTGTTATACACTTTTTTGTTTTTTGCATTCTCTCTTTAATGTGAAAGCTAATGCCTTACAGTAGACATGCTCAACCACTGGCACATGAGCCAGATCCAGCCATCGAAGCTATAGTATCCAAACTGCAGGGCTCCCCACAGGACTGGAAATTTGGCAGTGGGGGAGCGGTTGTAATTAATACAGGTAGTCCTCGGACTTACGACACAATTGGTTCCTGAAAACTGCGCCTTAAGTCAAAACATTGCAACTCAGAACCAATTTTCACATAAGAAACAATGTTTTAAATGGGGGATTGGTTCCTGAACCAAGGCCCGATACCCTATTTTCACTAAAAATAACCAAAATTTTGTACTCTAATAATTATACATGAGTAATATAGCTACGTTAATGAATTTATATTGTAAATAGCAATCATATTGATTTGGAAGGACTTGTTTGAGGTGACTTTCCTGGGCTTTTTGAAAGGCTCTTGGCTGGACTTTTTGAAGGGTTCTTGCCTGGAGGAGTCTTCTCAGGAGTCTCGGCTGCAGGTTTTTCTTGAGCCTTGTCCGCTTTCTTAAAGAAAGTGTCCAAGGAAGTTTGACAGATGTTCTCCAGGGAGATGGGTGACACAGTGAACTTGCTCACTGGCATGGCATCGCATTGGATCGAGCATTGTAAAGTCAAAACTGATATCATAAATTTGAAACAGGGTGTCAATTTATAAACCTTGTAAGTGTGAAACGTTGTAACTCAAAATGTTCTAAGTCAAGGACTGCCTGTATTGCCACCGAATTTCTAAGCTCCGTTGGAAAGACCGAGTCCCAGCTGACAAGCTGGTCCATTGTGTACTGGATGAGGCCCAGGGACCAGATTTGGTCTGCAGACCAACTTGGCAACCATTCGTCTTCGGGCCATACTCTACAGCCTTAAGAGTATGACTACGCTGTAATCCAAAGGTATGACTGCAGCTCAGTTACATATACCCAAGGAAGCTTAAAGTAGCTACACTTATATACTGAAATTACTACAGTCAGAGCACCATAGAACAGGGTGGACTAGCTACTTAAGTATTTACCCCAAGAGTCCTAGACAGGCTTTGCAGCCAACATTGAACCCATGATGTCATAGCAAGCCTGTACACAAGCTATTTAAAAGCTAGCCAGGGTATGTCTACAAGAGCTGCCCTGACACCTTTGGACTGTAGTCTCCTTAGTTAAAGAAGAGAAAATGGTGAATTTTTAACTGAGGTTGTGTGTAGCCAGAGTGCTTATTAGCCATTTTAGTAAAACACACAAAGTATATGTGAGGGAGAAGGGGGAGAGAGGTGGAGAAGAAAGGAGAGTCTTAAATCATTTGAAAATGCTTTTTTCCTTTTAGCTGTTCAACTTCCAGTATCTTAGCTCTTGTAACAAACATTCTCTTGTAATCAAATTCTTTCAGCCCAGGTTGTACTTCAATTTTCAGTGTAAAAATAAAAAGGTACAAAAAACTGTGATAGGAAAGTACTGTCCAGATTTTTATTCATTATCATAAAAATATTTAAAGGTGATGTATACCCATCTCCTTTTTCATCGTGCAGGGTGTTGAAGGCAAGAAGTAGCAGTTTCAAATTTTCTAGAAAAAGCAACATAGGGAACAAGTAGATTTTTCAAAAACAGTGTTTGGGACCATTTGAGGGAATCATGAAGTGAAAAGCAGAGAACAGAAAGCTGCAATGCTCAAGGCAAGTGATGATCTGTCGCGGAATAATTATTTTAACAGTTTGAACTGTAAATAATACATGGAAGAAATGACCTGAAAACTTTTGCAAAATTAGATTGTAAAGGATTTGTATACCTGGAAAACAAATTGCTTCCTATTACAAAAGAACAGAAGCAAGAGCTAATTGTGGATTGTGAATTATTTTTACATGTATAAACAGGTGTAATTTTACTTATGCGCAAGATCCTCCAATCTGAAACTATGCAATTCAGAAGCCCTATGGCACAAAAGTTGAAACAGATTTTAAGCCATAAATCAGACTCACTCATGCTACCCAGATGATATACTTTTCATATGTTAAACATACCAGCCACCTAACTGACTATTACCAATAGTCTAAATATATAGATGATTATATCAGTATCCCAAAATAAAAGTCTTTTGTCCAGCAGCTACAATACATTTCAATAGCAGAAAAATCAGAGTAAAATTTTCCAGTCCATAGATTATGTACTTCTTAAATATCAGACACCAGAAATATCAAAGTTAGAGGTATTGTGTTCCAATGTCCTTTAACTAATATGAAGCAACTCACTGAACCTATGCCGTTTTATGCAAATACTGCACGTTCGCCTTGACTGAAGTATAAAGAAAATGAAAAAGAGATTAAGATTCTAGCCCCCAAAACCCCAGCTAAAACTCATCACTGAAGAGTTTTCAAAATCTTCAGTCAGTACTAGTAAAATGAAGCGATTCCTATAGACATCTTCACATTAATCTCAGATTTACAGTACAAGATGAATCTAATTTTTGTGTGTAATTAAGTAAACTACATAATTGAGCATTCTATATGTTCTCATTTTTTAATTATACTTTAAATAAAGAGCAGAAGTGAATAAACTTGCAAGTAAGCAAGTTCAACGTTGACTACTTACTGTCACTGTTGTAATTAATTTCTCTACCCAGAAAGTTCATTCTTTCTTCACTCATAAATTGATACCGACAACTAGTAGCCTGAAGAATCCAATTTCAAGAGTAAGAAAATGCTAAAATAATGCCCTCCGCCACCCAAACCTCACAATGGCCTATTTCTTAGTAGGCGTTATAAAGATTAAATTAAGACATACATATATTTAATATGCTTACGTATTGAATGCTCTAAGTTTAACCACATTTTTTTAAGTTTAAAAAAAAACAAAAAACTTACAAACCACACAACCTTTTTGCTCCAGTCTCAGCACAGCATAAAAAACTAGGTCAGAAAAAGTTAAGAGTTTTCCTATTTTTAAAACAAAACCAGAACAAATGTTCTCCTTACCAAGCTTTTCTAGCAATTTACCCTGAAAGACTTCCTGCTTTACCACCAAGCTACTGTTATGAATACTGATTTAGCTCCATAGAAATGATCAACAATGGAAGACCTAAAATCAACTTCCAACTATCTTTAAGCAACATGTTGATTAGATCTACTGTTAGAAAGTAGCAAGTCAGCAACTAAAGAGACTCCACTTGTTTCTCTCCCCTAATTGCAGTGAGATTCTGTGCGCTCTCCAGCTCATTAGTTGATTTTTGCGGTGCACTGCCTTTGCCTAGTAGTTACATGAATACAGTCCCAATAAACCAGGCGTGGAACAAAATACATCCTATAGGCCAGATCCAGCCCACAGGAGGTCCCTCAGTTGTGCCTGGCCTAGGTGGCTTTACAGCCAGACTCCATTTCCCAGCAGCCCCAGCTCCTTCAGGCTGCCACCACCACCAGCCCAAGCCTGATGGAGACCAGCTAGGACCTGTGCAGGCAGGGGCCAAGCCCCATGCTGAGTGCAAGGCCCAAGCCTCAGCCCATGTCGGGGGTTGGGGTCCCACTCCAGACCCATCTACCCAGGCAACTGAGTAGCAGCAGCTAGACAGAAGCTACTGGTGGGCACGGAGGAAAAAAGGAGGACCTGAAAGTGAGCATGGCCATCTTCCCCCACATTGCTGCTGGGACCTTCTTCCTGCTGGCTGCCCGAAGCCCATGCTGGGGAAGCCCTGCAACTCCTCCCACCAACTCCTCCCTCCTCCTCCTGATGCACGTTCCAGGCATCAGCAGCAGCAACAGGCGCTGGTGGTGACAAGGGCTTTGACTGAGCTACCCCTGCTGAAGCTGCCATCCACCCTATGACATTAACAATTTGAATGATTCAAAGATCAACCAACTTCAAGAAGAAACACTTTATTAAAGGAACATATACATTCAAATTTAAATGGATAAAAGATATAAACTGACAAAGAAAAAAAAACATAAATAAATGAAAAAATAACTAAAATCCTCAAACTCACACTCCCTAAAATATTTTCCTGACATGATAATAAAAATATCACACAAAACAAAAAACAAACAAGTCTGCCTCCTGCTGCCAACTGGCAATGCAGTTTTTTGTGTTCAAGCTCAATAAAACTGCTTGAATAGAAGTAAGCTTGTGAAATATAATAGCCAAATAGACAACATAGGCTAGCTGTTTACTGTATGCACAGTGGTCCCAAAATGCCCCTTAAACTTTAAGCATGCCTCTTCTTGGTTGTGTGCCCATAAGTCTAAGTTTTTATTTTCCCAATATCCCTTGCCTAATTAGCTAAAGTATGACCAGTACTGTTATGATGTGAGCTTTGAGCGTACAGAACAGATTTCCAAGTTGTACAAACCCTGGCCTTTCTGTGGTTTCTAGAGGATGATGATGCAAATTGTTCTCTCAAGGTACAGATTCTGGGAACACCTTTCTCCCTGTAAGGCTGAGTCTTTTATTTGGCAGGCTAAATGGAATTCTCTCTATATTTTAGCTGAGAAATGAGGACCTGTATCACTTTCTGCTCCTAGTAACAATTGTTTCAGCCAGTTCGCTCCGCTATGCACAAGAAAACAGGTTATCTGGGACATGCGGCGCCATGCTGACATGATGATGCTTCCATCCAGTAAGTTACTCATCTAACCTTTCCCCTTCAATACTCTACTGCTGATGATGGCTTGGAGCATGAGATAAGTAGGTAATTCCCATTTCAAAAAAAATCAGTGGAGGGCTCTCATATTTAATTTGTTCTAAGTTATGAAGTATAGAAACTGATAAGAAAAAAGTTAAACACAACCAGTTTAAAAAAAAAAAATCTGTGGCTGGTAGAACAAAGACAAAAACACAGATTACATATATAAACAAAAGAAAACCTAAGAGTTATAAGACTATTAATAAAAGTTAATAATGATGAAAATGTGTGAATTAAATAGGTCCATTATATACCTAAAATAAAAGAAGAGGATGAATTATTCTTATAGGGAGGTAATGAAGTACCTTCTAGTGCATTAGTAAATAAAGAGGATGCTATAGTGTCTACTGGGGTAAACCGCTTTAAAAATCAGCAGGCTTGTTACACTACATCCAAGAGTCACAGAACATCGGTGGAAGAGATCTTTGGCCTACTTATATTAATTTTTAACGAAATTGGAGAGAATTCCAGAGGACTAGAACAGTTACAAGGCTAAAAAGTAAAGCAGGCTCAGGTAATTAAAGATGAGTTAGCCTAGGCAAAATAATGGACAAGCTGCAGTAACTCTGTTGTCATGGAACCCCAGAGCACTAAGGCATATACCCTGAAATCCCTTGAAAATAATGCCATATGCCCATGTCATTTACTATACAAGACAACCTTGGTAACAAGGCACCCCCCAATAATTAGATCGTATATATGGAAAATTTATAAATTTGATATAATTTTCCAGATATAGAATCTAATGATTGGCAGTTTGCCTTGAATTTGTCCCTCACCCACTGCTACGGCAGGGAAAATAAATCTGGAGGGGTCAGGTGGCCCACTTGCCCTTTTCCCCCTGCAACCCCTGCATCCCTCTTTACTGTCAAACCCAGACTCTAGATACCCCCACAAGGGATCCATGTGCTCAGTAGCCCCTCACCTATGACTAAAACCAGGCATTCTTGTTATGAGTCCTGGGATGCTCAAAAAAATTATATGCAGACAGGGCACAGGACAACCTGTGACCCAACCCAACCTGGTTGGGTTCCACTTCATGGAGGGTAGGGCCACAATAATCATATGCAACAGGCTGAAAGAGAAGAATGATAGAGGGATTCTGGGCCCTGCTTAGGTGATGTTTGCCAGACCTTTAAGGCTGGTAAAGAAACAGGAATAAGTGAAAAAGGACAAGGAAGGCATAGGCTCAGCTGTAGCAGTGAAGAGGAAGTAAAAAGGTATTGTTTAGTGGCTCACCATGACTTGAAAGAGAGTCAATGCTAAGGGGGCAACTGTGCTTAATGGGTACTACCATATACCTTATTCACATGAGCTGTACTAACCATTCCTTGTGGTACATTCCCATCAGTATGTTTACCCAATATGGGCCATGCGTTTTATAATCATGCTCAGTATTGGCAGCATTTAATCAACTTCAAAATTGGTTTCCATTACTAAGCACATGACACTTTTGGCATCAGTTTAATGACAGACAATATATTTTATAAGGCTTCTGTGTGTGCAACTGTGAGATTAGGGGCTTTTTACCCCATGCTGATTGGGGCAGGGGGGGAAGTGTAGGGTGGGACCTCATCTTGTATTCGAGTAAATACAATGATTGATAATAGAGCCACTTGCACGGGAAGTCCTGCCTTTAGGGTCCTCATTAAAACTGACTATTTCTCCTTTACTACAGCATAATTGCAATCAATAAAAACAATAAGGTGTTTTTTTGGGGGGTAGGATGGGGGTTGGACTCCAGAATGTGGAGCTCCAGCTCTGGCTCCTGGCTGCCTTCCACCTACTCAGAACCCCACAGGTAGCTGCTCATTGTGCCAGGTGGGCAGAGTGGGTGTAAGGCAGCCAGGAGCTGGAGCTGAAGCAACATGTCCGGGGGCAGGTGGAAGAGCAGCCGTTGGAGGTGGGAGGAGTCGAGTGGTATGGGGCCAACTGCAGCTGCACCCATAGGCCATATTTTGCCTATCCCTGATTTGGATCTTAGTTATCTAGCACCAGGCTGAGTAAGGAAGGTCTAGGACAAACTCACTCAGGGCAGCAAAGCTTAGCCAACAGTCTTCTAATATAGCAGTTCTTGATTCCCACAACCCTCCCCCCCACACACACACACTCTCCACTCTTAAGTATGATTGAAGACTTATCCTAAAAAATAATGATCAATGTCTCTTTCTGTCGGGTTACTGTTTTAAATGATGCTATTCATTAACTTGTTAAACAAGCCATTTTCCATTTTTTATTCCCTTTGGATAGAACATATACATACATATATACATATACATATATACACATATATATATATATATATATATA